CTTCAGTAAATTTTGGCTCCAATAATGAAAGTCAACAAAGAAATGCAGTGAAACACCATGCAAAGCCTCTATGGTTCTCACTTGGTATATGTGAGAACCAGGGACAGAGCTTTTATATATCAGAAGGGAAAGGACTGAAATCACCAACTAAAAATATGGAGGGTACCAAAAAAATCTAAAACATCAAACAAACTATTCCATAAAACAAAATGCACCTGTTGTTTTAAAAAATCAAGCATTTCTGTTCAAGAGTTGAGTCTCTTTTTATAGGCTGGACACTAGGGCAGCTTCCAGACATTGAGAAAAAAGAAACAGCACTTTAAACACAGTGTGTTTCCATGTTCAGCCTACTCCTGCCCAGAAGAGACAGCAACTTATTTAGACACAGATCACCTGATGTCTGTAAAGACTGGATGCTTTAGTGGGGCTTTTTGACCCTTTTTTCTAATAGATGCTTGAATCAGCTTTAGCTAAAAGCACCAAAAGCCACATCGAAGTGCCCAATCTTTACAGACACTGTGGAGTGCGGTCCAATTAACATGCTGCTGCTTCTGGTAAAGCGCGTTTCCCTTCCTCCCCACCACAAACGTCTGCAAGCAGCCTTCATTAAGAAAATGATAAGTAGGAAAAATTCAGACATGTTATAATAGAAATAATATACAGCCCCTACAGCATGGAGTCACAAGGGACTAGGACCCTGCTCTACATGTCACTGGTCTTGTGTCATTAACAGGTTAATTGCGCAATTACCTTGACACCAGCTGCATGTGCAAAGTAACTACCTAACCATAAAAAGCTCTGGCCAGCTATAAAGACAGACCTTGAAAACATGTACTAACTTTAGAACTGGTTGCTGTCGAGCTTTAATTTCAACGTGTAGTAGGAATCCTACTGGAGAGGAGAGAGGCTGGACCTCCGCAGCATGCTTCCCGGAGCTGGGACCCAACTGGGGTCCTGGCAGCCACAGGGTGTGCCTACACTTCCATAGCGTGGAGGGTGCATGAAACCCCCAGCTCCAGGGGTTTCACATACTGCCAAGCTATGGGGATTGCAGCAGCTATGAGCTCCCAGCCTTGGGGATGCATGGGGCACCCCTCAACTGAGGAGGCTGCCAGCCATAGCAGCCTGCTTCTTGCTGGTGCAGAGGGTGCCCAGGATCAGGCTTCCCCTGTACTAGCCATAAGACATGATGGGCTCTAATACATGATGCCATAATCTTGTCCATGCATGTATGGTATGGCAGGAGGCACAATTGTTTAGATTGTGCATTAGATCCCATTGCATCTTTACCTGCATATGTAGAGGCATCCTAAAATAATCATCCATTTACACCAAGGACATATATAAAAGCATACTACACTTTACATTTTCCATTAGGTGACAGGGTGAAGCCTTTCTTAGTGAAAAAAACTATCTATTTCAGTTTTAAAGATTCGCAATGCAGTAATTCGATTCAGAATGCACTATGTAATCATAAATGACATCTGCCCCTAATTAAAAGCAAAAAACAAGAATTCACACTTAGGCCCTTAACCTGCAACTTGTTCCATGCAGGCAAACTTCCTAGCACCATGTAAAGCTCCCTGCCTTCAGAGGGGCTTTAACAGGGCACAGCAGTCCAGCCAGGTGGAACAGCTTGCAGGATCAGCATAGATTTTGTCAAATTAAACAGATAATCTATTTAAAGTGACATGAGACAACCTGGGTCCTAGTCCCAGCTAGATCTTCTGGTTGAGAATATTTCCAGCACCACTTAGTGGGGCAAGAAGAATATTATGGTCTCTGATACTCAGGAAAAAAATTTCTCAGTAGTCTTATTCAACAAGTGTAAAATCTTATAGATCTGGGAATTATTTAATTGCTTTGCATCTGAAAAATTTTAATAGCAAAGTAGAAAATAATACAGCAAGCCAAAAGTCTTTCAGCTTGCTTTCCTTGATAAACACCCATGACTGCTGTGAAATAGCTTCAATTTTGAAATATGCCATGATTTTTCTCCCTACTAAACAGCTGCCTCATGCTGTTACTTGGTCTCAAATGCTAAGTAATATGAAGGAAAGTCAGTAAGTGTGTGTCATTCTTACAGCTAGAGTGAATTTATTTTATAAAGCATGACAGAATTCTAGGTCACAAAAGTAGTTGCATTGTAAAGCTTTTGATATTTCTTCATTTGTAACCATCATCTTGGACTAATTCTGAGAGTAAGTTTGTATGGCCACATTCAAGCACGTAGGATAGAATACTCAAAAATGCTCAACACTGGTTTATATCTGCTTTCATTATTAAAGTTAATGTGAGTTTTACCATTAATTTAAAGAAATTAGAGCACTTTGATCTTGGCACTGAAGCCAGTGGGACTTTGGTATACATGTAAGTGCTTTCCTTAGCTGGTGCCTATAAGTACATAGCTCTTGTTACTTTATTCAATTTGGCAAATATTCTTCACTCGTATGTTTTCTTACTATTTCACATACTGCTTTAATGACACAGTAGCTAGCTATTTAAATTTCATGAGCAAAAATCAGGCAAAATAGTCAAACCGGTAGCTTTTTCCTCACTGCATACACATTTAAAGGGATACAGTTTCTCTCTCTAATCCTCAAGATGATTATTAAGGTCCTAATTCTGTTGCTATTCTATATGATGAACTTCCAATGGTTCCAAATTTCAGAAGGATAGGAAACCCTGCATCATAAGCTTCCCATTTGAAGCTGTAATTCTGTGGAAGTTTAGGCCACAGGCACTCAATCTTTTTCATAAGTGTGACAAACCTTAAAACAGAAATGGACTGAGCGCCAGGAGAGGGATGAGGGGTGGGTACCCACTCCCCACCTGCACTATGGCTGTGTGGCACATGTTGGCGAGCTTAGCTCACCAACATGGGAGTGTGGGCTCTAGCTAGAACTATCACTTTCACATAGCTCTGGAGTCCAGGGGGTGGCCAGAGCCTGTGCTGACATGCTGGTAAGCTCAGAGAGCTCACTGTGCATGAAGAGTTCCAAGAGGAGCCACACTAATATGTCAGTGAACCCATCCTGGTGATAGGACATTCACACAGGCTTTGAGCACCACATCTGACCCACGGGCAGTCGGTTGAACACCACCAGTCTAGATCATTGGCAGAAGTCCTGTCTGAAGCATTCCAAGTGCCTTTGAAGTGTTCCAAACAGTGAGGGTTCAGACATGAATAGTCAAAAAAGTACTTTAAAAGTGGCCAAAATGCTTTAAAAAAATCCTCCAAGACAAACTTTAAAGATTTTTGTGAAATGTCTGCACACTGTAGAGGGCCTGTGGTATCCCATGGTAATCCATCCCATCTGCCTGCACAGGGCATCAGGGTAAGGAAGACAGCCAATGAGCAATCTCCTTTGCACTCAGCTGTCCTGGAAGACCTCCAGAGGCTGGAGGTCCAGTCATACAGGATTCCTGCTTTCCAGACTTCCAGATGGAGAGTGGTGCTGCCACGTGTCTTTGCTGGCATTTTGAAGCACTCTAGGGTAGGGGAAGGAGTCAGGGGAACACGCATCTGAAGCATGATGGATTTTAAGTGCTTCAGGATTTGGAGCACTTCAGATGCACATGGCCAATACCCCAAAAGCAAGTTCTCTTTTCATAAAGAGAAAAAGATACAATTTTAATTAGCCACTGTTAATTATCCATCTCAGATTCTTAACCTCCTCTTTTTTGCTCTTTCCCACAAATCCATTAATAGATGCCTTTTAGCTCATGTTGGAGACCAGGGGTGCCAAACATATGGACATCTAGCCTGTGGGGCTCTTAAAAGGGCCAGAAACCTGGGATACAGAGCCCTGTTGGGAATACATATCAGTGATGAGGGCCAAATGTGGGCCGTGTTATGCAACACCAGCTGTCCCACTGTATAAAGTCTGGCTCCCAAGGAGCCCCATAATCCAGACCTGGCTTGGGGATCTAAACCAGTTTGACATCTCTGTTCTAGAGTAATATATTTTCACACTATGCTGATTTATTTCAATCATCCTTTCCCACCTTTACCCCTTATGCACAATCCCCACCTTTAAAGAGATCAAGAACCAATGAAGTATTAGTGACAAAGAAAAAAGAAGTGAAAGTACTTTTTATTGAGTGAGCGTGTTTTTCTGACATGGAACTTTCTACAGGATTATAAAGATAATACAACTTATTCTTTTATTATGGTATTCAGTAGTTCTATATAAGGAAACATTATATAATGGAATAAATTAATTCATCCTTCTCAGGGCCCACTCCCAATGAAGTGAGTGGGATATGAGATCACTCATCATATAGCCTATGAAGCACTACATAGACTTTCTTCTATTTGCAGAATGAACGCAGCAGCAATGACCCCTTTTACATCTGAGTTTGTAAACCATGACTCTCAAGCCAAGAGTTAGGAATGTCTTTCAAATGCAAGACATTCTCCCTCAAAGGAAAAATATCTTGCATTTGCAAGTTTGCCTAACTCTATCCCAACTGCATAGTTGGTCCAGTGAAAGATATCACCCTAAGAAAACCTTGCCTTTCTAATTAATGAAGTACATAAAGAAGTATTTTTCCCCAAATCTACAGTGTCTAGCATTACCAAAGATGAGCAGACAATCACTCTAGGCCAGGTTATTCCAATGACTGTGCACAAACTCCCGTTGGAACCATTGGGAAGTTCTGTTCCAAAAAAAATCAATGGTATTATAGGTCTTCAGCAATAATAATTCAACAAAACGCGGTTTTCATGAAAGGAGTTGAATTATTATTTTCCTTCTTTAAAACCTTTTATTTTGGGGTTTATTTTAGGGAAGGAGGGGACACAATTTCATTAATTCATTCCAAACCATGCATTAAGCAAAAGCCTACTGAAGTCTAGCACACTTGTTGTTTTCAGCAGCATGACAGCATTTATACATGATCTGGCAAACCAGAAAATCATCCCTATGGTTAATAAATGAGACAAACAAGTAGTTTTCAAGACAAACAAATCTCAATTGAAGGCAGAAGGCTCTTACCATCAAAACCATCTTCCTCTGTTCCTAATTCATCATCTGAACAGATGTTCAGCACATTTACCAGCATCTCTGTCACTAGGGACAAAAACAGATGAGAAACATGAACACTGGGTTTTCCTGATCAATCTGAGAGTAGGCTGTAACTGTAGTAGTTTAATGAACATTCAGTACATAAATAACACCCATTTTTAAAACAATTTGGACCTTATAGTTGTAGTAATATAAGCTTCAGTCCAAGGATTGTATGTGGTTAATAAGTATCTGTACGCATGGTTTATAGGTTAAAAAAATTAAAGGGACACTGCAACAATAAAATGTCTATAATATAAGAAAAATTAAGTAGTGCCTCTAGCACATGGCTCTCTCACATATTCTCATTGTATGTCTTTCTACCATTTCACGCACTGCTTCATACTCTCTGAATCGCTAAGAACAGGAATCTAGATTACAGCATAATGAAAATGATCTAGAATGCAGGAATCTAGATTACAGCGTAATGAAAATGATAAAAATCAGACTTTCCTTTTTCCATTTTGTGTAGTTGGGTGTTTTCTTTCACTCAGCTTGAAAAACAGAAATAGTAAAATTGACTTCTCTCTTTTCCCTTCCCTAGACACAATGTTGCAGCTCTTCAGTTCCAGACCTTGATGACTCAATAAATAAATACTCTGATAATAATAATAAAATAAATAATGAAAATATTTCTACTAATAATACATTTTTGTAAAATTTATTTTTACCAAACGTAATTTTGTGAGATTAATGTAAATTGACAATGTCCCGTTAAGGTCAGGACTTACTGTAACAGTAAAAGTTATATTATTGGTGAAAGAACAATATGTTTAACTTCTTTCATTTTTCTGTGGTACTCTGAGCAGTCTGCCTCAAGCTATTTCTAAACTGCTCCTAGCCTTTTTAAAAAAAAGTCAGCATTGAAAAGTGCACAATGCAAAAATCACCCAAACACCCCCAAAACCAACCCTCCTTCCCACCAAACTAAAAATAAACACGTACCCAAGGAGATGGGATTCAGAATTCAAAAGCCAAAGTTATAAGGTAAAATGTGAAGTCATTAGCAGATAAATAAGTGAAAAACTCCACTACTTCTACATGGAATAAGCATCATTAAAGGTGTTACCAGGAGTACCTAGAGTTGCACTAGCTACAAAGGTTGAAGGTTTAATTTCACAAATGAGGTCAATATTAATATCTTCTTCTGTGACAGCCATGATTGCATGGGCATATTAAGGGGGGCAATTATTTTGTTCCTAAATTAGTTAGGGATTTAATATTTTTGTTCCACTTGAAATATTAATGGAAAGACTTCCACGTTGACAACCAGTGCCATTAGCACTGTGTAATTTACAGCTTCCTACCTTGACTGCCCTTTGAGGGGAAAAAAATCTATTAAAAAAAATGGTGTAGAGCATAAACCCTACATAAATCCAAGAGCTTTACTTTGCTAGAGGAAGGAAAAATACTGAATACTATGATTTGGGCCATACATACCTAAGGGACTACTTTCTCCCTTATTTTCTACCATGATGCCTGAGGTATGCTGAAGGAAATCTTTTGCAAATACCATCTGTGTGGCAAGTTTGTTTGGAACACTGTCTGGGAAATTTGTTCTATTAAATATGATTTTATTTTACTACGTTTTAACTCTTTATGATTTATGGAGGCTGTTTTTGATAGAGGTATATAAATCTAGTAAATAGAAAATAAAACTAAATACAGATTCTTTCTGTATTTGTCCTTTAACAATTAAAGTCAGTTTTATGAGGAGCTTGACCATGGGGTATGATATGAAAAGGAACAATGTTGTTTTTAAGACTGTCATTACAAATCTCTCTTACATGTTTCACACTCCAGCCCCAGGATAATATGCCTTTAGGGTTTATGGAAGTTTTCTGGGACAAAGTTTATAACAATCTGAAAAATGAATCAAACCATAGGACTGGCTTAAAAATTTGGACTGGCCATATTATGGATTAACAAATGATTTTTTTTCTTTTTTAGAAATCCTAAAAAATGCATTGAACAGATATCAGAACTTCCGCCATCAGTGGGAACATGCACAGGAAAAGACTATGCCTTGCCAGACATAGTATATCATATGTATATGTCATGTCACCAGTGGCCCGGAACTTCTCTTTGCTATCAGCTTCATTTCAATCAGCCACTCAAGAAGTGACTGTTTAAAGTACAAAAGATTAACAGAAAACAGAGGTGATCAGGACTGCAGGTCAAAGTCAAAGCTGGGTATATTTTTAATTGCTTATTAACAGAATTCTATTATTCTAAGTAATGTTTCATTATAGTTTTTGCAAGAAATTGCATTTACAACAAGGAATTATATCACATTGCAAGAATTAAAGTTAGTTTCGTACCTCTCTAGTTTGAATCTGGTTGACTTGTTGGGTTTTAAATACTCTGCCATTATGTTTAGGTTAATAGGACAGGCCAATATATTATTTTGTATCTTGTGCACTTAACACTTACAGCGGTTTCAAAGCAACATCAGGAACACTAGTGTCCAGTAAGAGATGCCTTCAGCATAGAATGACACAAAACTAAAGGGTTTTTTTTTTAGTTCTGGGACAGCTTAATTAAAAAGTGAGTCCCTAGCCTCCCCTCCTCCACTCCAGTTCTAGAAAAAGTAACTTAGCAAAGCAGACACCAGTGTGACATAGTCTGAATTTGCTGACCAATGGGTATCACATAACTGAATCAGCAAGCAGGAGGTCAGCTGGAGAACGATATGGCAGCCGTGCAGCAAATGTCTGCTTTGATGTTCCCCAATCAATATCACAACATGCCTCAAGAGTTCATAAATCAACAGTTATATTCAAATAAACCCAAGTTTTTTTTTCCTCCAACCTGAAAGGTGCATAAAATTTATTTCCAGAGCACCAACACAGTTGTCATCACTGTGTCCTGAAGAGAGCAGTAAATCTTAAAGAATAAAGGCTCTGGGGCTGCCAATGCCATAGTCTGATCAGGAAGTATTCCTGATTTAGCCTTTCCATTACTGTCAAAAGCAACAACTTGTCTTAGACCACCTCCAAGCTATTTTTGTACAGCCATACAGCCCACATCACTTGAAGTGTTATGGCTATGCTGCCTGACTTACTGTGGCCCCCTGTCCCATTCAATATTGTAGCAGCCATGAATGGTGCAGTTTTGCCTACCTTTCTCTCCAACAAATGGCAAAGACCAGGTAAACACATCCATGAAATTTGGAAGCCAGTATGGATGAGGGGAGCAGTTGAACTGTCTGATATTCATAACATTGTTCTCATATTTCAATACTGCAGCTGAGAACAAGGAAGGGAAGAAAAAGATATTAGCTGTACATATGATGACGATGATTAGAGTCAAAGATAACAACAGTAGTCAAAACCTTCCATGCCAGAGCTCAGGCCTCTACCACTGGCCTGAAGGAGTAACTTTTGATTGGGAGCTGAGTAGGCACTTACCCTTGGACAGTCCTGGTCCTCTCAAACAGCATGTGACGAGCTCTGGAATATGCTCCATTTCCACATAAATAATGTCTTGAATCTTGTGAAGTTCTGTATTATACAGTGCATTCCTTTTCACAGAAACAGTGTGTGTGTGTGTGTGTGCGCACGCATGTGTACACCTAACTCAGTGCATGTCTAATAACCACACTGTAGTTTCTAATTGACAGAAGAAAGCATTTGTCATTTAATTGTTGTTAGAGATGCTAATCTTTAGGATAACAATGATACATCTTCAATATACTTCATCCATAGGAAGTTGCAGCACACAACTGAACAATCTTCTCATAAGATGTTGTTCACATCATGCTACATTTTGTTTAGTATTACTTTAACGGAGCCCAATTGTGCATCATTTAGGTACAGAATCATAGAAAATTACGAAACTCAAGAGGTCATCTAGTCCAACCCCCTGCACAAAGCATCCCCATATCATCCCAGCCAAGGCTTTGTCTAGCCAGGTCTTGAAAACCTCCAAAGATAGAGATTCCACCACTGCTCTGGGTAACCTGTTTCAGTGCTGTACTTCCCTCCTAGTACTAAAATTCTTTCTAATATCTAACCTAAACTTCCCTTGCTGCACTTGAGACCATTGCTCCTTGTTCTGTCATCTGCCATCACTGAAAACAGTCTAGTGCTATCCTTTTTTGAACCCCCTGCAGGTAGTTGAAGGCTGCTGTTAAATCCCCCCACACTAGACTTCCTCTCTAAACCAAATAAGCCCAGTTCCCTCAGTCTTTCTTCAGAAGTCACCCCTCACCATTTTTGTTGCCCCTGCTGGACTCTCTCCAATTTGTCCACATTCTTTCTGTAGTACTTTTCTTGGCAACAAGGGCACGCTGCTGGGTCATATTCAGCTTCTTGTTCACTGTAAACCCAAGGTCCTTTTCTACAGAGTTGCTGTCCTGCCAGTCAGCCCCCAGATTGTACTGGTGCATGGAACTGTTCTGTCCTAAGTGCAAGACTTTGCAATTGTTCTTGCTGAACCTCATGAGATTTCTTTTGGTCCAATCCTCCAATTTGTCTAGGTCACTCTGAATCCAAGCCTACCTTCCAGTGCATCTACTATACCCCCCAGCTTGGTGTAATCAGCAAACTTGCTGAGGATGCACTTTAAGCCATCTTCCAGGTCTTTGATGAAGACATTGAACAAAACCAGCTCCAGGGGCACTCCACTTGATACCAGCTGCCAACTAGACATTGAGCCATTGATTACTACTCTCTGAGCCTGATGCTCCAGCCAGTCTTCTATCCACCTTACAGTCCATTCATCCAGCCCACACTTCCTTAGGCTGCCTGCAAAAATGTTGTGGGAGATGATATAAAAAGCCTTGCTGAAATCAAGGTACACCACATCGACCAATCTCCATGTATCCAGAGAACCAGTCACCTCATCACAGAATGCCATCAGGTTGGTCAAGCAGGACTTGTGCCTGGGGAATTTGTGCTGACTGTTCCTAATCACCTTTTTCTCCTCCTAGTGCTTAGAAATGGATTCCTTGTGGATCTTCTCTATGATTTTTCTGGGGACTGAGGTGAGTCTGACTGGTTTGTAGTTCTCTGGGTCCTCCTTCCCCCCCACCCCCTTAAATATGGGCACTCTGTTTGCCCTTTTCCAATCATTTGGGACCTCTCCTGATCTCCATGAGTTTTCAATGATTGCCAGTGGCTCTGCAATAACAACAGTCAACTCCCTCAGCTCCCTGGGTGCATCTCATCTGGCCCCATTGACATGTATATGTTCACCTTCTCTAAATAATCCCTAACCTGTTCTTTTCCCACTGTTGGCTGCTCATCTCCTCCCCAAACTGTGCTGCCTGGTTCAGTAGTCTGGGATCTGACCTTGCCAGAGAAAACTGAAGCAAAATAGGCATTGACCACTTCAGCCGTTTATGCATCCTCTGTCACAAAGTTGCCTCCCCCATTCAGTAAGGGACCCACACTTTGCCTGATCCTCCTCTTGCTACTGACATACTTGTAGAAACCCTTCTTGTTACCCTTCACATCCCTTGCTAGCTACAATGCCAATTGTGCTTTGGCCTTCCTGACTTCATTCCTACATGCCCAAACAATGCTCTTATATTCTTCCCTAATTATTTGTGCAAGTTTCCACTTCTTAGAAGCTTCCTTTTGTGATTTAGTTTACTGAAGAGTTCCCCGCTAAGCCAACCTGGTCTTCTGCCATATTTATTAGTCTTCCTGCACATCAGGATGGTTTGCTCCTGCACTTTCAGTAAGGCTTCTTTGAAGTACAACCAGCTCTCCTGGACTCCTCTCCCCCTCAGCCTGGCTTCCCAGGGGATCCTGTTCACGAGTTCCCTGAATAAGTCAAAGTCTGCTTTTCTGAAGTCCAGGGCCCTTACTCTGCTGCTCTCCATCCTTCCTTTCCTCAGGATCTATCCTGAATTCTATCGTCTCACAGAAAGGCCAGAAATTACCCTATTTGGACAATGAGCTCTTGGATTAGAACTGTTTTAACCCAAACAAGGGACTAATTTTTAAAGTCTGATTCTGAAAATCCTGACTCACATGAGAAACCCTTTTGAGGTCAAGAAGGCCACTTTCTCAAAGAAGGATCTGCAGGACTGGTCCTTTACTTTGAGTCCTTCCACATGCACTTTCACATACCTTCATATATACAGGATCAGAACCAACATTTGGTAAGCATTACACAAGTTTGGCCCTTACCAAAACTGAACTTGTTACGTTTGAAGATTGCCCAATACTGCACTGACAGTATGTTGAAAGGCTAAACTAGAAGACTGAACACTTGGGTAGAATGGGCTGTTCAGCTCTAACAATCCATTCGGTCATATAGTCAGAGCAATAGGGCTAGAAGGGACTTCCAGAAGTCATCTAGTTCAATCCCCTGCTCTGAAGCAAGCTCATCCCTATTAAAACCATCTCATACAAACATAGTCTATACCCCACATATGACTACCCTCAACCCTGACAAAATATAGACCTAACACCCTAACCTGCCACCGGTAAAGCAGGGGAACCACAGAAGACAATGTCTTGCTTCTATAAAATGCTGTCAATATATGCTTGAGAGGTCCCAGGCAGAGGTCCACACCCCCTGCTATGGAGGAAGACAAAAACCTCCACAGTCCACACCAATCTGATCAGGGAGCAAAATTCCTTCCTAATCTTAAAAATGGTTATTGGTCTGACCCAGAGTGGAGGGGCAAGACCCTCTAGCCAGGAACCTCTGGCTTCACATGCCAGAATCAGCACACCCCAGCTGAAGTACCCAGCCTTAGCTGTAGCCAACACCCAATACCTCTGGAGAAGCTTAAAACACCCTGACACACACGGCAGAAAAAGGGGGTGGGGAAGGGAGGAAGCAAAGCCCAGAAGCATGGGAAATACCCATAGTATAAAATAGGAATAGCTACACCCAGGATTATCCCTGACCAGTGGCTGTCCAACCTCTTCTTGAACTTCTCCCGTGACGGAGAGTCCACAATTTCCCTTGGCAATTTATTTCACTGCCTTACTACTCTCACAGTGAAGAAGTTTTTCCAGATATCCAATCTAAATGTGCTCTGTTACAACTCCAAGTCACTGGCTCGCATCCTTCTCTTTGCAGCAAGAGAGAAAAGGTGCTTTCCGACATTTTTATGGCAGCCCTTCAGGTATTTGAAGACTGCTATCATGTCTGCTCTTCAGTGCCTTTTCTACAAGATGAACATGCCTAGCTCCTTCAGTCTCTCCTCATATGCCTTGTCTTCCAAGCCCTTGATCATCTTTGTTGCCTGCCTCTGGATCCTCTCTAACTCCATGTCTTTTTTAAAACGTGCAGCCCAGAACTGCACACAGTACTTCAGCTGAAAACTAACCAACGCCGAAGAGGCACTGTCACCTCCTGTGTCTTGTACCTAATGCTTCTACTGATGGAGCCCAAAACTGCATTCGCCTTTTCTGCAGCTGCATGACACTGCAGACTCATACTGAGTCTGTGGTCTGCCCAAGACTCCCAAATCCTTTTCCATACAGCTGACATCAGCCAGGTGTCCCCCATTTTGTATTTTTGATCATTTCTCCCATGGCATAGTACCTTGCATTTGTCCACATTGAGCTTTAACCTCTTAGCTCTAGCACAACTTTCCAATCTATCAAGATCCTTCTGGATTGATCTTGCATCCTTCAATTTGCTCACAATCCTTCCCACAGTTTCACGTCATTTGCAAAAGTTGCTCAGGAAGCTTTCTATGCCAGGATCCAAATCATTAATAAACATATTGAAGAGCACTGGGTCCAGGACAGGGCCCTGTGAGACTCCACTGGAAACCTCCTGCCATTCTGACATGGATCTGTTAATTATTACCTTTTGCTTACAGCTATTGAGCCAGTTATCTGTTCAATATAAGCTTCTTTGTTGAATTTGTTGTAATAAGGTGTTAAATGGGGACAGGTTTTGTTATGAACAGATGTCAACTATACACTGAAGTGAACTCATCAGCTCATTTCAGTGAGGTTAATACAGCAGCATCAAATTTGCTGGGCTCCCATGGGTTGGGTGGGGCTTCCTGTGGGTTGGACAACTTGCGAGCAGTGATGTTAATCCCTATAGTTTTGGAATGGCTTCAGTACCCAAGGAGTTAATACCATCATTGCTAGTTCCCCCCTTTCCCCAATTCTGGTGGAGAGTATGGAGGGAGGACGCAGGCAGTGTTAACTCCCTGGGTTTCAGAGCTGCACTAAAACAGCAGGGATTAACCCCTCCTGCCCCCCACCCCCACCCCAGGGGCTGCAGCAGTCACGGCAACAAGCCCTGCAGGTTGAATCTGGCC